GGCATCTTAATAGATAATAAACATACTACTACTCGCTATTAACATCGATCCTAATACTACTACTCATGTTAATATGCGTAGTATGATTGGTTGTTAATAGTTAATAGCATCCTAATAAATATTATCATAATACAAAATGTATTAACATATCGGATTTGGCACATCTATAACGCTCGGATATGATGGTGCCCCCACATCGGTTCACATTCACATTTTGGTTTGAAGAGAGATAGAGTAATCCAACCTATGAACGAAAAGAAAAACATTCATGTGAATACAATAAAAGTGACCGTTCAAAAAGAGTTAGTTTCTTCACGGATCAATAAAAATGAAATTCATTAAATTGACTTACCATCCAAGGAAACTCTACGACATTAACAGCCTGACCGTATGTAATTCGTATATCTACATCATTGCTTGAATATGCTTTGCAAGCTATTTGCGACGTAGAAACTTTAAAAGAAAATAGAAATAATTATGAAATCAATAAAATAGTGGTAGTTTTTGAAATGAAGTTAAAGCTTTTACGGGTTTTTATTTACCAAAATTTGGAGATTTCCTCAGAAAATTGGCTACCTGTCTACGATCTGAAAAAAAATATATTTTAGTTTTTTCTTACTGTTACCTAACACTAGAGTTGCATTTTTTTATGTTGGCAGCCTCCCATTCCTAAAACCTGTAATATTTTCGACTCTATCAAGAACAATGACCGATTTTATGTGAAAAATTTTAATTTTCAATTGCACAAAATGTTTCTGATGCTTAAATCCAAAAAGTTATTAAATTATATGTAACTAATTTTGCTTAAAAAGAAGCGATTTAACAGAAATTTCATTTTATCGCAAAACTAACTTCATATTTGGTTTTCTCGTACCAAAAAACTCCGTACTAGACATCTTTACAAAATTGTTACCCCATGACATTTTTTTTGAAAACGCTGAAGTATAGTAAATTTAAATACTTGAATTACCATGCTCTATAGCGAAGTGAATCTGAATAAAAAAAAATTAAAAAAATTATTTATTAATAATTTAAATAATTCAATTAATTTACCGGTTTCTTATTCTCGCTGTTTTCTGAATTTATATTGGCTCCATGTTCAACCATATATTTAACTACATCTACGTGACCTAAAAAGCAAAGAGGGTGGTGAGAAAAAAATTTCATGTTAAAATAATTCTTCTCAATTCGAAAATATGTCCAATTACCATACTCAGCAACGTAGTGGAGTGGTGTGTATTTGTATTGATCTTCAGCATTGATATTAGCACCATGTTCGACAAGATATTGGATTATTTCGGCGTAAACTAAAAGGCATAGAAAATAAAATGGTAAAGGTGTCAAACAGATCAATACCCGTCCGTTCGGATTTCTTTTTAATAGGGACGGACCAAGGGGAATGTCACAAAGAACGTACTAGAATTATATAATTCGGAATAAATAGTTTGGGGCAACGTAATGTCAACAAATACACCTTACTGTTCACAGAAACATTAGGTTTTTAATTCAGTTGTCGGCACCTAAACATTTCAATATTTTTGTGAATATATTTTACTTTTCCGCACACCTAGTGTAGGGAAGGTATTGTATTAGGCCAAAAAATTAAAGTCATCCCAAAACATGTTTTCTATGCATATTTAATGTAGAAAACACGATTGGAGATGATTTTGGGGCGTATTAATGTGCGTCGCTGTGTGTGATGTGTCCTGTGCCCTGTGGCGTGTTGCCAAAATTTGTTAACTCGATAAATCTTCTTCCAAAAACTCAATTCAAATTATGACTTTGCAGGATGATTTGGGACTACTAGGAGACGTGCTGATTACTTTTTGAGCAATATCTGTTGACCGGTGTAATTTTTTTTGGTCCGAATGGAGTACCCATACATTTTTTGATCATTTCTCAACCATTTTGGTGACACGATGGTTTCGTGCTCAGACATGAAATTTAAAATGTGACTTCACGAAGTGATTGGGCACTACGAGGAATAGATCTGGTCAAATTTTCAACGACATTGATTGATCGGTGTAAAACTTAGACTCTGAAGAGGCACTTATGAGAAAAATGCCTTAAAATGATATTCTTTCATTTTGAACGCTGAATGAATGTGTAGTTGGGGGTTTTTTGGCACGAGAAACCCGAATCTAATGTTAGTTTAAAGATGCAATCAATTTTTCACACACTTTTCATACAAAAATCCACAAAAAGTTTCATTTTTGTATGAAAGACTTGCCTTTGTGGTACCGTAATGATCTGAAACTTTGAACAGGCTATTTTTGGATTGAAATTTCTTTAAACTTGCTGTGATTATTTATTTTGATGAGAAAATAATATTCACAAGTTTTCACGGTAATTTAAGTTACTGCAACCATACAAAGACCATGATTTCAGTTTATTCCCAAAATTTCGATTTCATGCGGAAAAGTCAGCTTGCGTACGTAAGCCTCTTTATTTTTGTATAATTTAAATAATTATATTAAGCACTTACCACCAAAAGTATATTCACAAAAATATTGAAATGTTTCTGACTGAATTGAAAACTCAATGTTTTTGTCACCATATCGGCATATTTGTTGACATTTACATGCATTTACATTACCACTAATTCCAAACTATTCCAACCTATTTGGACCTATTCCGAATGATATAATTCTAGTACGTTTTTTGTGACATTCTCCTTGGGACGGACACGTTTCATAATGTAATAATTTTTTTTTTTTAAATTTCGATCGAGCAAAATTGTCCAATATGGCGGACACTTATGCTTGGACGAGCAACCTTATTTTGATTGAATGTGGCTTATTTTCAACTTAAACAATGTTTTTCTACATCACAAAAAAAGAAGTGAATATCTTTGAATATACAATAAAAGAACAAAATGATATGCATCCGTTCGAGAAATTTTGTCCTAATTCCCAAACATCCGTCCGTTGTTCTTAAGGAGTAATTACATTCGAATTTTAAAATATGACACTTTGAAGAATGTCCTTCAATTCATAAATCACAAAACCTCACCACCAGAAAGTCCCTCCATCGACCAGACACCTTTAGAAAGTGATGAGAAAAAAACTCCAAGTTAAAATATTTTTTCTTGATTCGGGATGGTGTAATTACCAGCCGCAGTAGCGGAGTGAAGTGGTGTCATTTTATCATTACTTTTGGCATTGATATTGGCTCCATGTTCTACCAGATATTTGATTTTATCTATTTGATCTAAAGTGGTGAGAAAAAAACTTGATGTTAAAATCATTTTCCTCAATTTTACAAAGTGTATGATTACAATCATCAGCAGCGTAGTGAAGAGGTGTTTTTTGCGTGTTATCTTCGATATTTACATTGGCTCCATGTTCAATTAAAAATTTAACTATTTCAATGTTACCTAAAATACATGAAGAGATAGAATTGGAATTCTTTGAAAATTGTTCTTTTTTATAACTAACCTCCGTAACCAGCAGCGTAGTGAAGCGGACTCTTCTGCTTATTGTCTTTGGCATTTATATTCGCTCCATGATCTATTAAAGTTTTTGTTGCTTGCTCTACAAAGCATAAAATATGTTGGTGTTTATTTATATTATTTATATAACAAAATCGCTAAATAATTACCATTGTGTATAGCTTTATGAAGAGGTGTTTCTTTGTCATCATCTTCAGCATTAACGTTGGCTCCATGGTCGACTAGGTACTTCTCTGTTACCTAAAAAGCAAGAAAATTATTGAAAATAATTCTTTTTAATTCGGAGTATTCAATTACCATTCCGAGCAGCCCAGTGAAGTGATGTACGTTTGTAATTTTCTTCTGCTTTTATATGGGCTCCATGTTCTACCAGATATTTTATTGCTTCTGTGTTACCTAAAGAACATAAAAAGTAATAAGATTAATATTCATTAAAAATAATTCGTTTTAATTCGGAGCACTGAATTACCATTCTCTGCAGCCCTGTGAAGTGGTGTACGTTTGTAATTTTCTTCTGCATTTATATTGGCTCCATGTTCTACCAGATATTTTATTGCTTCTACATTACCTAAAAAGCATGAACGGTAACAAGATAAACATGGAATGGCCATAGGTGATGATGAGGGTTCCTAGAGTTCGAATAACCCCCCTCTAAAATATTTTTAGGAATCCTCCACAATTTTGGAAATGAGGACCTTTTTTGGCCGCGAAAATTCTTTCGATTAGCTAGGGGTTTTCGCCAAAAAAGTGAAGAGCAAAACAAAAACGATCTTATCCTCTTTCCTACAATTTTTTTGACATTTTTTTTAGGACCCCATAACAAATGTTCCGTCATCATCTATGCTGGAATGGCACACATGAAATGATAAAAGAATCATTCAATGCACTGCATAAATGTATGCCACTCCGAATGAATGATTGAAAACTATTCGTTTTAATTCGGAGCATTGAATTACCTTTCGCAGCTGCCTTGTGAAGTGGAGTTTGTGTCTCCTCATCTTCAGCATTCACCTGTGCTCTATGTTCAACTAGATATTTGACTGTTTCTGCATGACCTAAAAAGCATGAACAGTAATAAAATTAATTTTCATTAAAAATAATTCATTTTAATTCGGAGCACTGAATTACCATTTTCTGCAGCATAATGGAGTGGGGTATATTCCAACCGTCCATACGCATTCAAATTTGCTCCATGTTCGACTAGATATTTGAATAGTTCGATATTACCTAAAAAGCATAAAAAGTAATAACTAAGAGTACATCTATCACAAAAGAATTTGTTTTAATTTAGAGTGTTTAATTACCATTCTTAGCAGAGTAGAGAATTGGTGTATATTCATCACTATCTGCCAGATTTACATTAGCTCCATGTTCGACTAGATATTTAACGGCTTCTATATTACCTATAAAAACGTGCAAAGTAATAAAATTTATGTTCATTGAAAATAATTCGTTTGAATTTAGAATATATAATTACCATTCTGTGCAGCTAGGTGTAGAGGTGTACGTTTGCTACCGTCTACCACATTGACATTTTCACCATGTTCTACCAGATATTTGATTACATCCACATTACCTAAAAGGGATGAAAAGTGATAAGATAAACATTCATTGGTCATAATTAGTTTTAGCTTGGAGTATTTAATTGCCATTCTTTGCTGCGAAATGAGTGGGGGTCTGTTTGAAAAAAACCTCAGCATTCACACTGGCTTCATGTTTGAGTAGATATTTGACCTCTTCTGCATTACCTAAAAAAGCGAGAAAAGTAATAAGATTTTCATTGACGTCCCTCTTGAATGTCATTATATGGCACACAACAACGACCCCAATCAGCGGCCAGACGGCAAAAAATGAAAAACTAAGTTTAAGTACAAAATTGTTCTAAATGAAAGAAATTTTCAGAGACTTTGCCGCCAGTAGAGTTATTTCTGACTCGCAGAGCACTGAATTACCATTCTCAGCTGCCTTATGAAGTGGTGTTTCTTTGTGAAACCCTTTCGCATTAATATTGGCCCCATGTTCGACAAGATATTTGACTATATCTGTGTGATCTAAAAAGCATGAAAAATAATAAGGCCAATATTCATTGAAAATAATTCGTTTTGATTTGGAGCACTGAATTACCATTCTCTGCAGCCCAGTGAAGAAGTGTGTCTTTATATTTACTTTGAGCATTGATATTGGCTCCTTGTTCTATCAGATATTTAACTACATCTATGTGACCTAAAAATGGTGAGAGAAAAAACTTCAGTTAAAAATATTATATCTCAATTCAAAAAAGTGTACGATTACCACATTCAACAGCCCAACGAGTTGGTGTACGTTCATCCTGGTTTTCTACATTCATATTGGCTCCATGTTCAATTAGAGTTTTCACTGTTTCAACATGATCTAAAATAGATGAAGAGATAGGATTTAAGTTCACTGAAAATAGTTCTTTAATATTCTTATTTCTAACTTTTCTCAGCAGCAAGGTGGAGAGGGGCACTTTTCCAATTGTCTTCGGCATTAACATTGGCTCTGTGATCGATTAAAGTTTTGGTTGCATCGGTTTGGCCTAGAAAGCATAAAAATAGTTGGTGTTCATTTATATAACATAATCGCCAAATAGTTACCATTTTGTGCAGAACGATGAAGAGGTGTACGTTTGTGATCGTCTTCAGCATTTACGTTGGCTCCATGGTCGACTAGGTACTTGATCGCTTCTGTGTTACCTAGAATGAAAGTGGGAAAGTATTTCGATTAAAATTCATTTAAAACAAATATTCTAAATTCAAAAAAGGGTGTGCGGTTATACCCCACTCAGCGGTATAATGAAGCGGTGTATTTTTATCTGCAGATGTCGAATTAGCATTGGCTCCCGCATCGACAAGAGTTTTGATCACATCTGTATGATCTAGAAGGCATTGAATATGAGAGAATTGAATTTTATTGAAAATATATCTTCACAATTTGAACAGCTAGGATTTACCTGCCATAGCAGCTCGGTGAAGAGGTGTACGCTTATCTCCATCTTCGACGTTCACATTAGCTCCATGTGCGAGTAGATATTTGATTTTATCCACATCACCTAAAAAGCATAAGAACAGTGTGGTTCAAGCTTTTCAATTGGCTACTATACTCAAGTGACAAAATTTTGTCGAATGTACCGGTCCGTGATAAAAAGTGCGAAGAATGGTTCATTCAATATTCGATTGCTCATCAGATTATTGAATCAGTTTTTTATAAGTATCATTTTTACTTTTCCGCACACCTAGTGTAGGAAAGGTATTGTCTTAGGCCAAAAAATTAAAGTCACCCCAAAACATGTTTTCTATGCATATTTCATGTAGAAATCACTACTGGAGATGATTTTGGGGCATAATAATGTGTCCTATGTCCTGTGGCTCCTTTTTTTGTTACCGCGAAAACTCTTCTTCCAAAAACTCAATTCAAATTCTGACTTTGCAGGATGATTGGGGACTGTTGGGAGACGAGCTGATTAGTTTTTGAGCAATATCTGTTGACCGGTGTAATTTTTTTTGGTCCGAATGGAGTACCCACATCCATACATTTTTCGCAAAAATCCACAAAAAAATTTCATTTTTGTATGAAAGACATGCCTTTGTGGTACCGTAATGAATTAGTAATAGTCTTAATATAGTAAGTCTAACTATCATGAAAAATAAGAAAGAACTAAAATCTATAGAATTATTTCTCTGCGTATAATGAAAGCACAACGTCATGCACAACGTATTCACAAAAATTAACAAATGAATTGCCGAAATTTGCGATGATTAATATTTGTTTTATTGGGGTACGATATGTGCCAAACCATCACACACATTTTCTGCATGAGTAAAATGTATTATATGACCGTAAAAATCTTATGTACCATCGATGTACCAAAAACAGCTTCTTCCTCTTATACTTCTTCTTTTTATGTCTCTTGATTTTGATACATTAAAAATTCTGTGTTGTCGCTTGAGTAGTTAACTGTTGAGCATTGAAACTATTCATGCATCTTATTGTAAATAGTACATTCAAAGCCTTTTTATACCCTTTATGCTTTGAACACTGATCTTAAATAATTAAAAAAAAACACCAAATTCAAATATTGATGAATTATCCTATATGCTCATCGTGAATTCTATCATTACCTCTTCTGACGGCACTAAAGAGCTGTTGATCCAAACCAGTATCGGAACGTGCAGCTCTCAATTCAACACACAAAAATATTAACACAAAAAAATACTTCATATCTGTTAAATCGCTGATTTTTAGTGAAGAAAACACAATTCACGTTATATTCGAAAACATATATTGCAAGTGCTAATGACAAAATTACTCTGCTCCTCTTTTATAATTACTCCACATATATTTGGAAGTGTCGGTTTGTGTTTGCGTGTATTGAAAATAAAAACTATTTTCTTGAGTCTAATCTCGTAAGGTCAATTCTCTCCCTCTCTTCACCATTCCATTCAATAAGTGACAAAAAATGGAAATTATGAATACGTGACTAAAGCTACATATTAATTACTAGATAATACTAGAATATAAATAGAACAGATAACGGAACACATCCCGAATGAAAAAAAAAAAACAAAAATTCATTTTGTTGACATATACAAAACATAATTGTAGTCAACAAGACAACAACAGTATGAAATTATTTTTTGGTAAATTGGGCAAACTTTAGTAAATTGGGCAAAATATTGATGGAAGCGTATGTTTTGGATGCCTTTTTTGAAAATCGATGAGCGAAAAAAACCATTTCGTTGCAACTTTTTTTTCCTAAAACATCAAAAGTGCATTTTTGTGATCTTATAGAGTTTCTCTAAAACTATCTACAAAAATACTCAAACCAATTCACTTTCATATAAATTCATTCGAAAAATCCGTAACTTTAAATCGAGCGGGGTGAAAATGAGGAGGGTGTCGGCCAAAGTGCCAGAGCAAAAGTTGTTACTCTCAACCAGGCCTACAAAAGCCACACTAAGGGTTTTTTACATTTCAAAAATGAAAAATCCATGCACCCTATGAACAAGAATATATATAATATATTCTACTATTCCATAGCTAAATGAAATCAACTATGTTTCACATTAAGCAATAATGCATTTTTATTGAATTTTGATATTGTATTTCCTAATCTTTTTTACTAATCCTCTCTTTGATAAGCTGCTAAACACTTCATGCATGCAAAAATAATTACGACTGTGACCTTCAAATCACGTAACTACTCGTTGCTCATTCTTACAAAACAACTAAAATTGCATTGATTTGTGTGCCAAAGTGTATTTAATAACACATTGCTAATAAAACGAATACGAATACATTTCAATTAAATACGTTAGAAAGTGACAAAATGTGTCAAGGAAACAGCTCAGAAAAAAACCATTGAGCGTTTCAATCCTTATCGTTATTGCTAGGGAAATGCCCAACATTAATACCCCTCTTTTTCGCTTTGGAACAGCAATTTGTAGTATTTTTTATAGAATAAATAGCTTGACCAACTTGGGATAAACCCAATATCAAAATCAGTTTTGTTTAAGAAATGCACTGTGTGCCATACAGTACTCTATGTATGATACGAATTGCATTTAAATGCAAAATCACAGCGGACGGCAGTTCGCGCGAGTGACGAAACCACATTAGTGTGTTGAAAAGTCGAACTCGCTATATATACACGTAATATACGAAATCCAGACCTAGAAGGCCGTTGGCCCCGGTTGATGTATGGTTGGAAAGCCCTTGGGCTATAGATCAAGAAAAAATATAAAAGTTTGAAAATCGGTCCACCTGTCTTCAAAATATGGTCCTTTCAAGAAAAGGGTCAAAATTCAGTTTCATGACCATAGATGGCACTAAATGAGGTCATTGACCCCTGAAACATCTATATTCTTATTCTAGAGCTCAATACCTTTCCAACGACCCCCTAACCGTCGAAATCGATCAATCCGTTCGAAAAATTTATTATTTTAAAAATTTCATATGAATTCCTATGAAAAATCAAAATGTCTGTCTGTCTGTGGCCAATTTTGCGTAGTTGTTTCTGATCTTTTTGAAACTTCCTGTGATTAAAGTACATAAAAAACTAAGACTTTTTTGTTCCGGCACTTTTCGATTTGGGCGCCATGTTGACCGTGGCCGGCCTCCAAAAGTCACTTTTCGACTTTTTTCCCTATGATCACCGAAGCGCCATGACTTTACACCCTCCCAGACATATGCATATCATTGGAAAGGTCTTGAGGTGAGCTATCGAATGGAGTCATTTTCGGTCCAAAAATTTCAAGTTGGAGTGGCGAAATTGGCCAAAAACCAAAAAGTTACCGTTTGGCCGGACACATAATGGTCATTAGCTCGAAAACTAGCCTTTCATGGTCACTTGAAAATTTCACCGATTTTAAGGCCCAAGTCTAAGCTATAAAATGCCGCATAGCTTATATCCCTAAAAATTCTTGTCTTCACGATATGGCCTTTGATAGTGCGAAAATGGCCAACAAAATTAATTAATTAATTTTAACATTTGAAGTATTTTATGGGCCAAAATGTACTCCAATGACTCTGTAAATATGCTCTATGACTAGCGAAACAAAATTGAACAAAATATCGACCGTTTTGGATGGCTATTCCACCAAAAATCGGCCAAATGTACCAAAAATCGAATTTTCACAAAAAAGTCTAGATGTATGAAATATGAAATCTTAACAACAAATAACTACATGTTTGATGGTTTCCTCGCATAAGATCGATAAAATACCGAATTTAAGTCCCCTACCACCAGGCCAGAAGGTGGACTATCGTCGGGAGAGGTGCATGCGGTTAGTCACAAATTAAATTAAAAGAAATCTACAAAAATGTTAGTATAAATGCAAACTATGCAAAAGGTCATGCAAAAATGGCCATTATTTCATACGGTCGCTGTGGGACCTAGACTTGACATAACCAGGACAAATGCATATTCGTTCGAAAGGACTTAAAGTAAGTTCTCAAGTGGTGTCAATTGCGACTTGAAAATTTCATGTGGGGGTGGCCAAATTGGCAAAAAACCAAACATTGACCGTTGACCGCACACATAACGGGCATTTTTGAAAAAGACTGCATATGTTCTCTTGAAAATTTCATCAATTTAAGCATCAAGTCAAAGATAAAACAATATGCATACCACATACCACTGAAAAATACCTCTGTTCCTCATTATGAACCATAATTTGTATAAATTTGGTCCAAAAATAACCTAAAAATCTATATTTTCATTGTATTTGAAAAATATTCAAATTCATGTGTCTTGAATCTTTAACTTGGAAAATAGCGCTTACAAAACTATTGATATCAAATAAAAAACCTCTATCAAGGTGAAGAACGAGTGACGAGACCA